AGTGATAATTCCCAGAATGACAAAAATATGTGAACTTTCAGACAGAGAATTTGAAACAGCTGTTTTGAAGTAGCTCAATGAAATTCAAGTAAAAGAGAAGGCATCCAGAATTCTATGAGAAAAATTTAAGAAAGTGATTGAAATAATTAAAAGTAATTAAGCAGAAATTGTGGAGCTAAAAAATGTAATCGACATACTAAAAATGCATCAGAGTCTCCCAATAGCACAATTGATAAAGCAGAAAAAAGAATTAGTGAACTTGAAGACAAGCTACTCAAAAATAGAAATAGAAGACAAAAGAGAATAAAAAGAAATGAAACATACTTATAAAATCTAGAAAATAACCTCCAGGGGAAAATCTAAGAGTTATTGGCTGTAAAGAGGAGGTAGAGAAACAGATAAAAGTGAAAGTTTATTCAAAAAGAAATGAAACATACTTATAAAATCTAGAAAATAACCTCCAGGGGAAAATCTAAGGGTTATTGGCTGTAAAGAGGAGGTAGAGAAACAGATAAAAGTGAAAGTTTATTCAAAAGGATAATAACAGAGAACCTCAAAACCTCAAGAAAGATACCAATATTCAAATACTGTATAAGAAGACTGTAGACCACCAGGTAAATTTAAGCCAAATAAGATGATGTCAACATTTTTAATAATAATCAAACTCCAAAACTTCAAGGATAAATAAACGATCTTAAAACTAGCAAGACAAAGAAACAAATAAGGTAAAAAGTAGTTCTAATACATTTGGCAGCAGACTTCTCAGAGGAAATCTTACAGGCCAGAAGAGAGTGGCATGACATATTTAAAGTACTGAAGAAAAACAAACAAACAAACAAAAACCGTTTTGCCCAGAATAGTATATCCAGCAAAAATGTCCTTCAAACATGCAGGAGAAATAAAGACTTTTGCAGACAAACAAAAGCAGAGGGATTTTAATACTAGACCTTTCCTACAAGAAATGTTAATGGAGTTCTTTGATATAAAAGAAAAGGACATTAAAAAGCAATAAAAAACTATCAGAAGGTATAAAACTCTGTGGTACTAGTAAGTACACAAACAAACACAGAATATTATAACACTGTGGCATGTAAACTATTCATATTTTGAGTAGAAAGAACAAAAAAAGAGCCCACCAAAATAATAAAACAACTTTTCAAGATTTAGCATAATAAAATATAAATAGTAACAACAAAAAGTTAAAAAGTAGGGTAGGAACGAATTTAAAAGGCAGTTTTTTTTTTCTCCTTTCTTATTTGTTATCAGTTTTAAGTTGTCATCATTAAAAAAAATGGGGTATAAGGTGTTATTTGCAAGCCTCTTGTTAACCTCAACTAAAAAAAAATACTACAACAGATGTACATTACGTAAAAAGCAAGAACTTAAAGCATACAAGAGATAAAAATTACAACAAATACGTAATAAATAAAAATCAAGAAATTAACACCGGAGAAAATTACCTTCACAAAAAGGAAGACAGGAAGAAAACAAAGACGTGAAAGACCACAAAACAACAAGAAAACAAATAACAAAATGGCACTTGTTAGTCCTTTATCAATAATAAAGTGCTGATTTTTATTTCTGATAAAATTTCCTTAGATCTTTTGAATTTTTATTTGATGATAATTATTTAACATTTAAAAATCATTTATTTGTTTTATAATTTCAGTTTTTTTGTCTAGCATTTTAAGCCCATTAAATTTACACTCAGGTATATGTAGCAGATACAGGAATATTATTTTAAATTATTTTTCTCATTACTTTTGTTCTAATGACTCTCACATTTAATAGAAAAGTGTTTAATTTCTAGGTTTGGTTTAAATTCTGTTTTTCTATCTTTTGTTTCATCTTATTTAAAAATTATTTCATTTCATTGTATTTCTACTTTGTGAACAGGGATCTTTCCTCTACTTTTTCTTCTTTATCAGTGGTTTGATTAATTCTACTCTTGAATATTAGTTGTTTTTAATAGGGCACATTTAGAGTTTTACTTAGCTCATAAATCGGCAGTTGATAAGGTGATGCCTATACTTTTAGTCATTTGATATATGTGCTCCATTTTTGTTTTCATCTGGATCCTGATATTTTTCTTCATTCTATTGGTTATGTAAATCACTTTGCAGAAATTTTTTCTGTAATCTGCATGAGATTCTGCTCTACTGTTTCCTTTTTCTTTCTTTTCTGTTTTTTCTTTCTTCTTATATTTTTTAATAAAATTCAATTTGTTGATTATGATAATAATACTAATAAATAATGTCATTGTGTTCTTTGCAATATCTAGTCCATGATGCACTTTCATCTTTGGCCCATTCATAGCTTTTTCTTATTAATTTAGCTATTCACATACTTATTCATTCCTTCATTTGGTAATTTATAGTGACATAATAAGCTTCTGTGACTCTACTACACAAAATTCAAATTAGGGCAATGACTTATCTCTGATTTAAGATTTTCTACAAAATTTTATATGCCTATCTCCTCTCACCAAGTTAATAACAGTTCTGAATTCTACATTATATGTACTTTGACTTTTCTCTAATTTCTTCTGTATATATTCATCAAATAATATTTTTAGCTTATTTGTTTAAAACTTTATAAAAAGGAAATCATATGAGTAGGATCTGATTTATTAATGTTTTCTTTTGCACTTTATGTTATATGTGTCCTCCTTTTTTTTTTTTTTTTTTTTTGAGATGGAGTTTCACTCTTTCACCCAGGCTAGAGTGCAGTGGTGCGATCTCAGCTCATTGCAACCTCTGCCTCCTGGGTTCAAGTGATTCTCCTGCCTCAGCCTCCCAAGTAGCTGAGATTACAGGTGTCTGCTACCACACTTGACCAATTTTTGTATTTTTAGTAGAGACGGAAGTTCACCATGTTGACCAGGCTGGTCTCAAACTCCTGATCTTATGATCCACCTGCATCAGCCTACCAAAGTGCTGAGATTACAGGCGTGAGCCACAGCACTCAGCCTTATATGTGTCCTCTATAAAAAATCTTTCCCCGCAGCTGTGAACATGAAGTTATTTTCTGTGTTATTTTCTAAAAGCTTTATTGTTTTGTCTTTCATATTTCAATTCATAATTTATTTAGAATTAACATTTATATTAATGCAGAAGTAAAATGTAGAGGTTAAGATTCATTTGTTGTAGTATGGATAATGAATTGATCCAATACAATTTATTTATTATTTATTTATTTTTTACTGGGTTACTGCTATGGTTTGAATGCCTATGTCCCCTCCAAAATGAACATCAAAACTTAAATCCTAATGCAGCAATAGTAGAAGGTAGAGTCTTCTAGAGATAATTAGGTCATGAGGGTTCCACTCTTCTCAAAATATCATATTATTTCTCCTGAAATAAAAATGGCTTCACACAGCACTTTTCCCTTTTTTCCCTTCTGTCTCCATGATGCGAGGTTGCAGCCACAAGACACACTCTTGGAAGAAGGAACAGCTCTACCAGACACCAAAATTGCCAGTGCCTTGATCTTGAACTTTCCAGCCTCCAGAACCATGAGCAAATAATTTTCTCGTTTTTATAAATTACTCAGTCAAAGTTTGTTTTGTTTTGTTTTCAGCATAAAGGCACTAAAAGAATTACTGTAGCTTAAGTTGTGTGCCGTGGCTCACACCTGTAATCCTAGCACTTTGGGAGGCTGAGGTGGGTGGATCACCCGAGGTCAGGAGTTCAAGACCAGCCTGGCCAACATGGTGAAACTCCATCTCTACTAAAAATACAAAAAATTAGCCAGGTGTGGTGAAGGATGCCTATAATCTCAGCTACTAGGGAGCCTGAGGCAGGAGAATTACTTCAACCTGAGAGGCAGAGGTTGTAGTGAGCTGGGATAGTGACACTGTACTCTAGCCTACACAACAAGAGTGAAACTCAAAAAAAAAAAAAAAAAAAAAAAAAAACAAGAACAAAAACAAAAATAACAAAGAATAAGAGAATTACTGTAGCCCTTTTTGTTTCTAATGGGTATTGATTGGATGACTGCATACGTGTGGATTCAATTTTAGACTTTTTATCAGGACAAATGGAAGCTAGAAAGTGGAATGACATATTTAAATGCTGGGAAAAAAAATTCCAAAACAAAACAAAACAAAATAAAATTCAACCAAGGATTCAATATCCAGTGAAAGTATGCTTCAAAAATAAAAGTAAAGTAAAAGCGTATCCTGATAAACAAAGATGAAGTATTACTTGCAGACATGCTCTATAAGAAATTCAAGAAGAAATGTTTCAGAATCCCAGGAAATGATGACAGACAGTAACTTGAATCCACAGGCAGCAAGGAAATCCCCAAAAATAGTAAAGAAAGAAGACAGAAGACAGACACAATGCAAGAAAAGTCTTTACTTCAATTTTTGAGGTTTAGTCCAGGGAAAATTAAACTGTTGTGGTGGATGTCACAATGCCAGTTACCTTGGTTGGAATTGGGGGATCAGCTGTTGCCTGGGAAGGTGCATGAGAAAAGAATCTGGAGATTTTGAAATAATCTACAATTTTATCTGGGAGGGGAATATATGTAAAACTTTGATTGCACATTTAACATTTCTGCCCTTTACTCTGTGTGTGTTTATCTTGATTAAAAAAAATAAATTCAAATGCCAAATCTGGACTCTTAAACAACTATAAATTAAAAAGTAAGAATCAGCAAATATTTATGAAAACTCAGCCTTATGAAAGAGAAGTGTAAAATGTGCCTGAGAAAGTGCTAAGAAACAAGAAATCTTACAGAGAAGACAGAAGGAAATGCTTAAATTTCTCCCACATAGGCAACATAGATTTTATGTCCGTTGGTTTCCCTTCAAACAGAGAAGATATTTAAGTCATTTGTTCACAAGAGTGACTCCCACCCTCCACTTGGCTCTTTCCACTCCACTGCACCCACCAGGAGATTTGCATTTTGTCCCCTAGGGAGGACCTTCTCTTGTGAGTCTAAGATAAAAGCTCAGCTCTCTCTTTGCCATGACGGATCAGGACTTCTCTGTTCACCTGCTCACAATGAGTTTCCCTGCTCAGCTCCTGGGGCTGCTAATGCTCTGGCTCCCTGGTAAGGACAGAAAGAAATGAGAAAGGAGAATGGGATGGGAGGGTGACCTCTGGGGGCACAGGGCCTTCCATGTGTGTTCTTTCCATGTGTTAGATGTGCAGGTCTTGTCCTCCCAGATGGAGCCTGTGTGAGAGAGAGGAAGGTTCCAGAAGGACCAAAGACATGTGCTCTGGGGAAGACTTTGTGCAGAAAGAGAGGATGGCGTGGGCACTTCTGGAGATCCCTTGAGCACTGCATCCTTTAAGTTCCATTTTGAAATGGGATATTATTGGAATATAAATCAAAATTTGAAAAAAAATATAGCCTGAAATAAACAACTAATGAAAATTATAAAAATGATACATAAAGTTTATATATAACCTTAATTTTCTTTTCTTATTATTTCAGGATCCAGTGGGGATATTGTGATGACCCAGACTCCACTCTCCCTGTCCGTTACCCCTGGAGAACCAGCCTCCATCTCCTGCAGGTCTAGTCAGAGCCTCCTGCATAGTAATGGAAACACCTATTTGCATTGGTTTCTGCAGAAGCCAGGCCAGTCCCCACAGCGCCTGATCTATAGGGTTTCCAACCTGGCCTCTGGAATCCCAGACAGGTTCAGTGGCAGTGGGTCAGGGACAGATTTCACACTGAAAATCAGCAGGGTGGAGGCTGAGGATATTGGGGTTTATTACTGTGTGCAAAGTATACAAACTCCTCCCACAGTGATATAACCCTGAACAGAAACCTCCCTGCTGGGGTGGCCCCAGCTGCCCACACGTGCTGCTTGTCTGGGCAGCAGCTCAGCAGGTTCTCTGAATCTGTGTAAGAGAAAGATGCTGGAGGGCTAGGGAGTAGTTTGCATCCAGGGTTTCTGGATCATGAGCACTTCAGCTACACCTTGAGGACAACCTGTTTATGTCCCTGTCAGCTCAAACAGCCTTGACTGGTATAAGCAACAGGGTGATGAGGTCCAAGTGACCTCTAAGTAAACAAACATAATGGAGAGGAGAGATTATTGAAAATCTTACCATAATCCTCTCTCCTTGCCTGCATTTGTTAACTTTTATCAGCAAAATAGAAAATTGACACATTTCTGGCAATACACGTATACATCTGGGGGATTAACAGTATTTTACATATTTTTAAGAGGATGTTTAGTAAAATTCAAAATTGGTATTTTCCCACTTTTCTAAATTCTTACTTCTATTTCTTACTTATCTTCCACAACATAAATATAGTACAGACAGCATTTTACCTTAGTTATCCTAAGGGAGTATTGGCTAAGAACAATTAGTAAAAATCTTGGTTTTTGATTGTCAGATAAATTTTGTAATTTCATAGAAGATGAAAGATGCTAATGCTGAAATTCTTTCATTAGACTCATTTTCTCTTGCTAATAGAAAAAGTGAGTTATTGAAATTCCAAATGTTGATTTTAAAAATAAGAAGCATACACCTAAATATATACAGCATAGAATTTTCCCCCTGGACCACTAGGACATACAGAATAATATGAAGTTTTTTATCTACCAAATTTAGGAATTTAAGATGGGCAAACAGCAGGAATGGGAGCATGAAGGGAATGCAGGAGGGGTCAGCTATTGTTCAGTGAAACTTCTCTCAGCCTGTGTCCCATCTGCTATGAACTGAATTGTGTTCTCAAATTCATGTTGAAGCCTTACTCTTCCAAGGTACTGTAGGAGATAGGGCTTATAAAGACGTCATTGAGGCCATAAGGGTGGGTCTCTGATCTTAGAGGATAGAGGTCTCACAAGATTCAGAGAGCTCTCCTTTTTCCTCCCTCTCTAACGTCTCTTTCTTCTACGGAAAGGTCATGTGAAAGCATGGTGAGAAGGTGGCATCTGCAAACCAGGAATAAGGTTCTCACCAGAAAGTGAACCCTGCTGGACCTTGATATTGGAGTTTCCAGCCACCAGAAATATGAAAATAAATGTCTGTGGTTTAAGCCACCCAGTCCAGGGTCCTTAGGTGTAGCAGTGAGAGACGTGTCATCCACTGTCACCCTTTGAGCAGGATCAGCCTCCCGAGGCACCTGATAGACATGGGGGCACATTTCTTCCTGCTGCAGGGGTTCTCTTTCTGCTGCCATCTGATTCTCTGGTGAGAAAGGGGGGCTATGGCTTCAGCCTTAGTTTGTTTACACTAAACAGAAATGTTTTCCTTGCAGTTGTCAGCCTGTTTCACTTTCTGATTAGAATTTAATCAAACTGCAGAAACTACTGGCTTGGGCGTTAGTATCTGGTGATGTTCACATTTGTTTCCATTTAGATCCCAGTGACGACATTGTGTACACTCCATCTCCAGTGCCTCTTCCTGTGTCCTAGGAGAGAAGGTCACTGTCACATGGAGGGCAACAAGAATATTAACAGGGTCCTAGCCTGGCTCAATCAGAAATAACGTCTGGCTATGATCCCCTTCTGGTTCATACTGCCCCTTGGACATGACGCCTGCCAGCATTGGGTGATGGGCTTGGACAGAAGTCATTCTGGTCATCAGCAGCCAAGCTGCCTTTATGGCCTCCCATTGTATATAGGGTCCCAGCAGCTGCGTGAGCTATGAAAGCTGGGCAGAGACATCCCACCTGGTTCCAGTCAGAGAGGAAGCTGCCAGTAGGCCGTGGAGGTATTTTGTCCTGAGAACACCTAGCCAGCTGTTCTGTCCTACAAAAACCTCCAGGGTAGGACCTGCTTACATTGAGCTCTGGGACAAATCTTCTCTACATTGGGGATCAGATTCACTGCCCATCTTCTAGGCACCTGTTATTTTATTCCTAAAACCCACCTCAGGTCCCTCAGCATCCTCAGCAATGGGTGGAGGTCACTGCATGGACCAGTAGAGACATGGAGTGAGCAGGTTCGGAGTATTTTGGTCCCAGGCTCTGTACTGGGGGTAGGAAGAAAGGACTTAGAACTCAGATCTTTAGCCACAGCCTTAGGAAACCAAGAGTGCAGAGCATTTATCGAGGAACTGCTCCAAGGCCCCTTTTCCACTACAGGTGTGCCATTGCTGCTGTTAAATGTTCATGCTCACTTTATCAAATTTATATCACATCTTATACCAAAATATTATGTGAATTTCTGTGTAATTCTACGTATTATTTGGATTTATAATATAGATGCATAGCAGATACAGATATATCACTATAATCTGTATCTAAAATGTTATATATATTTAACAAATAAGGTTTACATAATATGTGTACATGTATCATTTATTTATGCCTTCTGTGAGTGAGATATTCAGATAAGGATCCTGGTAGACCCTTCTGGAGTCAGGGGCCACCAATACTCTCTGGAAGGGCTTAGGACCACAGGCCCCTGAAGACAATCACAGGTCTGGAGGGTCTTAGCGATGACTGTCTTCTGTAAAGACAGCTTCTCCTAGATGGCTGAGGGCTGCCTATGGCTGTGTCCTTCCTCCTGCATGATAATGGGGGGCACAACAGGTCTCTAAGCAAACCCTGAGCAAGGCCATCCTGTGTGTGTCCCTCTGAACTCTGAACTTGGACATAGGTGGTACTGGATTCACTTAAAGAAGCAAAGTGATTTATAATCATGGGAAAGAGGGGGAGAAAAGGTTGAGGGCAGAGAGAGAGATCGTGCTTGTGATGTGTGTATAGGACCAACACTGAGGGTTTAGTATTGAGTATAATCCTCAGGTTCTATTCTATGGAGCTTATAAATGTACCCTATATGGGAAAAGTGTCTTTGCCCATATAAATGAAGGGTCTTCAAATGAAGAGATTATCCTGCATTAACCAAATGAGCTCTAAATGTAGTTACAAGTGTCATTGAAAGAGGGAGGTAGAAATGGATTTAACACAGACTGAAGAGGAGTAGGCAAGGGGACCACAGAGACAGAAACTAAAGCGATGTGGCCATAGCCAGGGAAAGCTGCAGCCACCAGGAGCTGGAAGAAGCAAGAACAGACTCTCTTAGAGCCCCTGGAGGAGTCGCCCCTGATTACTCCATGATCTTGGCCTGGTGAAACTGATTCTGCACTTCTGGCCTCCAGAACTATGAGTGATTACAATGTTGATTACATTTCTGTTGTTTTATGCCATCACATTTTTGGTAACTTGTTATAGCAGTCGAAGGACTCTAATACAAATGTGACATTAATACAAATGGGATTTAGAAAATCCATACTTGGCTAAGCATGGTGGCTCATGCCTGTAATCCTAGCACTTTGGGAGGCCAAGGTGGGCAGATCTTTTGAGGTTAGGAGTTTGAGACCAGCCTGGTCAATATGGTCAAACACTGTCTCTACTAAAAATACAAAAAAAAAAAAAAAAAAAAAAAAAAAAAAGCCCAGCATGGTGGCATGTACCTGTAGTCCCAGCTATTCAGTAAGCTGAGGCAGGAGGTGGTTGCAATGAGCTGAGATCATGCTACTGCACTCCAGCCTGGGCAACTGAGTGAGACTCATCTGTAGTTCTCCTTAAGAGGTCCTTTACATGCTTTGTTCATTGTATTACTAGGTATTTTATTCTCTTTGTAGCAATTGTGAATGGGAGTTCGCTTTTGAATTGGCTCTCTTTAAGTCTGTTATTGGTGTGTAGGAATGCTTGTGATCTCTACACATTCATTTTGTATTCTGAGATTTTGCTGAAGTTGCTTATCAGTTTAAGGAGATTTTGGGCTGAGATGATGTGGTCTTCTAAATATACAATCATGTGGTCTGCAAATAGAGACAATTTGACTTCCTCCTTTCCTAATTGAATACCCTTTATTTCTTTTTCTTGCCTGATTGCTCTGGTTAGAACTTCCAATACTATATTGAACAGGAGTAGTGAGAGAGGGCATCCTTGTCTAGTGCCAGATTTCAAAGGGAATACATCCAGTTTTTACCCATTCAGTATGATATTGGCTGTGGGTTTGTCATAAACAGCTTTTATTATTTTGAGGTGCGTTCCATTGATACCTAGTTTATTGAGGGATTTTAGCATAAAGGGCTGTTGAATTTTGTCAAAGGCCTTCTCAGCATCTATTGAGACAATCATGAGGTTATTGTCTTTGGTTCTGTTTATGTGGTGGATTACGTTTACAGACTTGTGTATGTTGAACCAGACTTGCATACCCGGGATGAAGCCTACTTGATTGTAATGGATAAGCTTTTTGATGTACTGTTGCAATCGGTTTGCCAGTATTTTATTGAAGATTTTGCATGTATGTTAATCATGGATACTGGCCTGAAATTTTCTTTTCTTGTTGAGTCTCTGCCGGGTTTTGGTATCAGGATGATGTTGGTCTCATAAAATGATTTGGAAAGGATTCCCTCTTTTTGGATTGTTTGGAATAGTTTCAGAAGGAGTGGTACCAGCTACTTTTTGTATGTCTGGTAGAATTTGGCTGTGAACCCATCTGGACTTGGGCTTTTTTTGGTTGGTAAGCTATTCATTGCTGCCTCAACTTCAGCCCTTGTTATTGGTCTATTCAGGGTTTCGACTTCTTCCTGGTTTAAGCTTGGGAGGGTTCAAGTGTCCAGGAATTCATCAATTTCTCCCAGGTTTGCTGGTTTATGTGTGTAGATTTGTTTGTAGTAATCTCTGATGGTAGTTTGTATTTCTGTGGAATTGGTGGTGATATCTCCTTTATCATTTTTTATTGCATCTATTTGATTATCTCTCTTTTCTTTTTTATTGGTCTGGCTAGTACTCTATTTTGTTGATCTTTTCAAAAAATCAGCTCCTGGATTTATTGATTTTTAAA